TTCCTGACTCATGGTAAGTGATTAATAAATTTTTTTGAATGATAGCATGACTGACTAAATGAATGACTACATGCACAGAGGCATGAGCAATAAAGTCCACTGCTATACTCATTATAAAACAGAAGTAAATACACAACATTAGGAAATTGTTAAATAAATGAGATAATTCCACGCCATGAAATTTTCTACTGCAGTAAAAGAATGAGGTGGTTCTGTGTTTTATTAATATTAAAAAAATTCAAGACATACCAAGAACCAATAAAAAAATCAAAAAAAAACCCAATTTGAATAAAAATATAAAGAATATGAGAGAACACTCATAAAATAACTGATTATATACATTGGGTAAGGAAAGTTTAGTGAAAGATTTTACTTTATCTGAATTGCTTGAAATATTTGCAGCAAAGATGCATATGTATATCACTTGTATAATTTGAATAAACATAGAAGAAACAATAGGTAATTAAAAATGTTATAAGTAGAATAGTGAAGAATTCTTACTTTTACCTTTTTTAAAAAGTTAGTATTTGAAATTTTTGAGGTTCTGGATAGCATATCAATAAGTTTTCTAATGGTCTTTGTACTCAAGATGAAGATGAGGAATAAAAGCTTTTGGAAACAACAATTGAATATGCAAGAGCATGCAAGAGCCTGCTGATGTTCCTCCCCATCAGTCTCCCCAGTCTCTCTCACCACCCCCAGCCATATGCAAACACATCTGTTAAACATCTTATGTTAATAATGGAAATGAATGTTTCTAAGTTAAAGTATGTCACAGTTACCTACACATACTCACAAACACACATATCTAAAATGAAGTGTACCTAATTGTTAACAGATTTTATCTCTGATTTTGTTTAGGTTTAAGAGAATTTTTGCTTATCCTATAGCAAGTATTTCTTGCTTTTGTAATATGAAACAAAAGAACTATTTTTAATGAAAAATTGAAAAACCAAAAAAAAAATGCTATTGTTACCTTGTTATACAACATACAGAGTAAATCTGCAAACCAACAGAAGGACTGGATATCTCTGCACACCCAAATAAAATACAGTCTTCTAAGCTTGTATGGTTTCCAGTCATCCCTTTAAAATAATACAACATGGTAGTTATTAGGATTACAAAACAAATTACAGAATCCTTGCATTCTTGAAAATCTGCTTTTCACTATAGCAAGCAACCAATAGAAAAATCAGTCATTTAAATTCCATTATCTGACACATCACCATTACTCTCAAATGAATGCAATTCACAATGTACTGACTCAAAGTCATGGCATATATCATTAATCTGAGTGTTTATGCCATTGAATATCATATGCATATCACCTGTTTCCATTTGAGGTCATACACTGAACTCTTGGATCAAAATAATATTTTCCCCCAACTCTTAGAAAAACAACTCCTCTATTTTCAGAGAATACTATCACTGAACAGGAGTCCAAAGTTCACTTGGTCTTGCCCTGGATTCCTGGCAAAATGAGCCTAAAGCATTCCAGAAATTTGGTTGTTTATCCCACTCTTAATAATCATTAAAGAAAGAGATTTCACAACCACGTACTATGTAATGTGTTCCAGCAACTCTTTATTCCAAGTCTGGTTTCCTATTTATAACTATGAAGTAGACTGGAGGTTAAGGAAATGTTCTTCCTTTTTCATAACATGAAGTATCCAAATAACTTGCAATGTGTTGTCAGAAACAAATGGTTTCTGGCTTGGAATATGGTTACTTTTGTATGATCCTCCAAAAAATACTGAAATTACATCTAGAAATAAAATACCATTCAAACACATCACTCTGGCTTATTATTTTTCATTGCTTCATAAAACATACTTTTAATGCAAATTGTATTTACTTGAAAAGTGAATAGGATAGATTTGAGCGTGACTTCCTGCTGTCACATTGTGTTTTCAGGTTAATTAGTTAACTTTTGCTTATAATCCTAGAAGTAAAATACTGGAAGATTATTTCCTAGTTAGGCAGTCTCACCTTTGAAATTTCTTTTCTTCAGTCTGTTGTCAATTTGCTAAGTAACAAACCAATGAATGATGTGTTTATGTGTCATCTTCTCATAAAAGTTTTTCCTGACCATAATTCTACACTAGGTTCTGTCCTTCATTTCTATATTCTATTAAACTTTTTTCATAATTCTAACATTTTCTGAAATAGTTCTCTTTATGGTTTTCTCATTGGTTTATTTTTCACTTGTTCAACTTAAATGTAAGCTTTTTAAGTGCAGAGACTCCAGTTCCATTCATTGCTGTGTGCCCAGTACCTGGTAAGATCAACTGGGCACATGGGTATTCAAAAATATTTGTTGATTGAATGAATGAGTAGTGCCACTTACCAGTGATGAAGAATGTAGTGAATAACTTTTAAAAGTAAAAGGACAGAGGAATGAATACCTGTCATATTGACTTATTTTTACAAGGAATATGCTGGGGGCTACAGACCACATGTTGAAAACCACTGAATTATCCTTTCCTTAATTAGTAGAATTCCTTTAAATATGAGTGGAAAAAAATCTGTATGGAAGTATTTCATACTAAAAAAAGAAAATATCTGAAATATTGGAAATTTTCTATTTAAATTGATAAAATGGATCAAAATGACATACAGCAAGGTGTTGAGTATTGATGCAAATGGAGTTACTCCAATGCCTCCAGCCACACACAGGCTAACTTCATAGTTCAGAGATTCCTCAAATGGACTTCCAAATGGACCATCAATGTACAGCCTGTGGAAAAGGCAGACAAAGTTTGGAAAAATGAAAATAATTTTCCACGACATGTATCAAACAAGCATGCTGAGTCCAATATCTAGGCATTTCAATGACTCAGTGTTTATTTCATTATTTCTAATAGATTCTCATAGCCTAAAGGAGTAAAAGGTTGTGTATGAGCTGTTGATATTAAAACATATTTGTTTTTAAGCATACTTTTTCTGAGGTAAAATTAGTTTTAAGTGTAAAGAAATGTAAATTTGATCATGCAGCATCAGATAAGTTAAAGTTCTGGTAATATTATATTACTATATTTGACTAAATTAAAATACCAATTTACAATGTCTAAGTTCAATAGTATTTCCATTAATGGAGGCCCATAGGAGACCTTAAAACATTTACTATACAAATAGAAAAATCACATGAGGAAGGTAAAGAATCTAACACTGCTTCTGAACAATCACAAAGGAACTATACTTAGTCTTCTTGTGTTTCTGTATTCAAATGTGTGTATATGTATGTTCATGTGTATGTCTGCAAGAGAAAACCTCATCTTGTCTGCAAAAGAAATTGCTAATTATTCATTTAATACTCATATTCCATTTCTTAGTAACAGAACATTAATTTTATTCAGGGAAGTAAAATCCCCAGCCATAACACTACATTTCTCAGATTCCATTCATCTGTTTTGGCTGCGTGGCTGTGTTTGGGCTAATGTGGTACACAATGGAGGTGCATGTGCAACAAATGGGAAATCCTCTTTTAAGAAGCTGTCTTAGCCAGAGCTTTCATCTCTTTATTCCTCCATCTGTCTTCCTCCCTGGTGTCTGGGATGTTGACTTCATCATCTAAATAGTAATCTTTGATGAATGCAGAATCACCATGTTTTCTGTGGACTACCCAGTTCCAGATATCTTCATATGAAATTAAGATAAACACTTATTTGTACAAGACATTGCTATTTTATATCCTTGTTTCCTTTATAAAAACAGCTTTCCAGAAATTAGTAACTTTTCAAAAAAGTAAATTTATATGCATTATGATCCACATGTCATTTATGGTTAGGAGTCACTGCAATAGTAGATCCATTGAGATTATGCATCTTTGGGTTCAACAGTTAAGTGCTTGGAAATATTTATTAAATAAATAAATTGATGGACATTTCTTTGAACTCAGAGCTCTATGACATGTTTCTATCAGTTTTGCTGCTGACTTTCTCTCTTCCACTTAGGAGATAACACTCCCCGGACTTCTGTGGTAAGATTGGGTCGTGTGTCTAGTTCTGATCAGGGTGATTGGAAGCACTACTTGTTATTTCCAGAATGAGGCAGGAAAACATTATTTTCCTTCCATGGGAACTAACAGTAATGAGTTGAACCAGAAGAGAGAAACAGACTGAATCTCTGAGCCAGCACTCAAAGGGTGCTATTCTAGAGAGCCACTAGACTGACAGAAGACAGTGCATGAGCCAGAAATAAATCTGTTTAGTGTTTCTCCACATTTTCAGGGATACTTCAAGTTTAACTAACTACTGTAGCAGGACTTAGACCATCATGACTAATGCATGTCTTAAAGGGAAACTTTGAAGAGAACCACTTTAAAACATATATATAGGTTGTGGTACTGCATACCTGTAATCCCAGAAGCTTGGGAGGTTCAAGCAGGAGGATAGAGGCTCACAAGTTCAAAGCCAGCCTCAGCAACTTAGCAAGGTCCTAAACAACTTAGTTATCCATTCTCAAAAATAAAATAAAATAAAATAAAAAAGACTGGGAATATGGCTCAGTGGGTTTAATCCTGGGTACCAAATATTTTATTTATCTGTTTTATCTCAAGAAATAATAATCAAAGTTGATAAACTTAATGTAGTACTCTAAATATAGCAGAACATTAGTAAATGTTGATAGGTCACATAATTACAATATGTACAGTACTTATTATATCCATTTAACCCACATTTTATAGTTTACCAGTAAACATGTACTTTGTAACCAATTATTTGTATGACACTATTTTTTCCACATTTTGATTGGTGCATTACAGTTGTACATATGATGGGATTTGTTGCTACATATTTGTACACAATATACAATAGAAGGATATAATTTGGCCATTATCACTCCCTAGCACTTCTCCTCTCACTCCCTTTCTCCTACCCCGGCTCCCTTTCTTCTACTGATCTCCCTTTCATATTTTAGGAGAGCCACCTCCACCTTTCTTATCCTTTTTCCTCTCTAGCTTCTTCATATGAGAGAAAATAAATGACCCTTGACCTTCTGAATTTGACTTATTTGGCTAATATGATGGTAACATGAGAACACTATTTTTGATTCAGAAATAAAAATGACATCATATCTGCCCTGCAGAAGTTTTGCATCTTCATCTGAAAACCACATTAAGTAGGATGAAGGACAAAAAAAAATTGCTTTAATGTGTTGATCTTCTAAGAGATGAAAACTTTCTTTTTTTTTTCTTTACTACCTAACCAACAAAAAATGAGAGGAATCATAAGAAAGGAAGGAAGGAAGGAAGGAAATCTGTATTCTACTTGTCTACTTTCCAACCAAAACACCTTCCCCAGTCCCCACATAGCTATTCTCTGATATTTTGAAATAACTTTGGACAAGGAGATGAGAACTTGGAGTTCTGTCCATTTAATAGGAGTGGGATCACAAACAAATTACTTGTCCTTGTATAATGATTTCCTTCATCATAAAAGGGTCAAGGAGAAGTAATCACACACACACACACACACACACACACACAAACAAAAAAAACCTGCTAAGAAACACAAGGGTCACACAAATATCAAATGTTTTTCATTAATGATACTAATGAGTGTCTACTGTATACCATTGAACTATCTGAGAGACCCCATATGAATACAAGAAATAGACTAAGTTCAGAGTGAGACAAGAACTATAGTGTGGAATTTGATTTCAGTGATCTTAGAGAACCAGCTGTTCTTTATTTCAAATGCTTTTTAAATTCTTTTTAACCAATACCTTAAAACAAAAATTGTTAAGCACTAGTCAGGTACCATGAGATGTTTTGAACATGTATATATTATACAACGTTTAAATCAGGATAAACATATCCATATCCTCAAACACTTATAATTTCTTTATAATGTTTTTACTATAATAACTATAGTCACCCTACAATGATAACTATAGTCACCCTACAATGCAATAGTACATCAAAAGTTCTATCTACCTGTAACTTAGTACTCATTGATCAACATTTCCTCATTCTTTTCTCTTTGTTACCCTCTCCAACCACTGGTAACCACCATTCTACATTTTTGCACAAGGTAAGAACATTTTTATTTTCTTGGAGGAAGGATGAGCATGAAATTACTAGTAGTTGACTACTTGGCAACACCTACTTTTTTAAGGAAGTCAGAAAGAGAAACAAAAATAACTTAAAAACCATTTTTACATATTTATCTTGACTAATATGCAAAGTACATTACTTTTAATTTATGAGCAGTGACTTTATCCTAGTCTTTAAACGAACTTATTACTATTCTCATGTATGTAACAAGATTATAGAAATTAAAGGCAGCTATTCAGTCTTGCAGCAATATGAGATGAGACCAACTTGAGATTTTAAATTTTTATTTTAAAGCCAATTAAGGAGTGCGGTTGTGGCTCAGAAGTAGAGAGCTTGCCTGGCACATGTGAGGCCCTTGGTTTAATCCTCAGAACCACATAAAAATAAATAAATAAAATAAAGGTATTGTGTCCAACTACAACTAAAAATAAATATTAAAGCAAAACCAATTAAAATATTCCTTAAAGGATTATGGGTCTATGAAAATTCTAAGGATATATTCTCTTCCCAAGTACACCAATTACAATTTTTCATAATGTTTTGTCCTTGAAAGTAGAATTCATTAATATTTTCTAAATTGGTTCAATTGTATCATTGACCAAGACTGAATTGATTGACCATTTATATCAGAACTTCTCTCAAGTTAGAAATTCATCAGCTATGATAAATATAGTTAATTGAACTATATTAAAAAGATAAAAGTCTAATCAATAGTTCTTAAAATCCTGTATTTCAATGCTTGTTACAGACTCCTCCCAAACACCCTAATAACATAATAAATTAAAATAGAATTTATTTAGATATCTGAGGAGTAAGGTAGTCATAATTTTAAGGGAATACCCTTATTTTAAAATTAGATAATAATTATACCAGTATTTCCCAAAAGGAATTCCAAAGAACAGCAATGCGAGGAAAAGCATGTCATTGTCAAATCAATTTGGAAAATGTGTTAAACAGATATTTTTAAAATTGTTTACTTTAAAACATATGTTATATAAAACTCCCAATTTGGGAATTTATAGTAATATATCCACTTAAAAAAAGGGGGGGGGGGTAGGTGTTTCCTGCCCTTTCTTGCAAATGGTGGTGTCTATGAAACACAGTTCCGGTTGGTTAGATTGGAAAGAAATCTGGGGTCAAGTTTCTGGGAAACTTCTTCAGAGCAAGGCCAACTCTTCTGTGTACCTTTTATGCCACTGTTCCTTCTGCTTCTCCTGCTTGGAAGGAGGACATACTGACAGAAGCTGAAGGAGTTATCTTGCAGTCATTAACTGTAGACACCTCAGATATAATCTGCTGACACTGTACCAACACCAGCCACCACTTATCTTCATACTTTTTGTTACATGAAAAAAATTAAACCCCAACATTTTCAAGCTATGTTTCTATTTTATGTAAACAAATGCAAATATACCTAATAAGCCTTTACCATGGAGACTAGCTCTATCAAACATTTAAAAATATTAGATACTCTTACTAATAATAAACTGTTCTAATTTATCTACATCAACTTAACATAAATATATAATTGTTAGGAAAATATTTGCTTCTCTTGTATTTTTTTTTCTGATAAGCTTTTATTTCAGAGTTCTTTAATTAAAAAAAAACACTGAGACTTACCTCAGAAACAAAAAATAAGGTATAAACATTACAGATATTCTTCATTGAACATTTAATTT